CCAGAAGAAACATTTTAGTTCCTGAAAGCTTTTTAGAGAACATGTATTTTGTTATTTGTCATTGTTTAGCTAAAATTAGAGGGGAAGTAGTCTGAGCAAACTACCCCGGGTTCCCCTTTCACCAGAAGGGATTTAAAATCCTTACTTTGACCTGGAAAATCTCCCTTTGGAGGCATCCAGATGGCATCCTGGTCAGACACTTGAAGAGCCCAGCTGTCTCCTTAAAATCCTTTTATTAGCAGTGCTACAGTCAGAAATCAACTGTGTCATTTCCACACATATCTGTTCGTACAGGTGATCCCCACAGCCTAAATATCAATATCTTAAAGATTGCTGTGAACACGTCACAAGGATTAAAGAGTTTCACAGAACAACAAAATGAGCCACAGTGAAAAACCTTCAGAGCAACAGGATGAGACGGAGACTGAGATACACGAGGACGACAAACTTCACCCAGAGGACTGTAACGGTAAAGACGATCAGGTGAGAGATTTACTCAAGACGAGTCAGACGGAGAAAAGATCGGTCAGCCCGCTCACTCTTTTCAAAGAGGACTTGAGCCAGTTCAAGGAAGGACTGTTGAAAGTGTTCAAGGACAAAGACACAAATCCTAAAACAACACAGCCGCCAGAAAAGCCGATCAGCACTCTGACTCTGCTCAAAGAGGACTTGAACAATTTGAAAGAAGACATCTCCAGCATCTTCAGAATCGGCCTTTCAAAGGAGCATGAAGACAAAGATGCTGCTGCAAAGCTAGATTCCTCCAACGCTGTCAAGATAAAAGCCACTAAAGCTGAAAGAGGTGACGAGTCCCTCCTGAATCTGTTCAAGAGAGGAAATTTTTCAAAGATTACCCCCAAAACAAACGATAGTCAGGAAGTTAGGAAGACACTCTCAGTAAAGGCAGAGGAACAAACGGATGATGGATTTACGAACAAAAACCCAGTTAGCACCGAGGAAACTAATAACAATACGACGGAGAGGCCGAACGACTCAGACGACAGCAAGCTGGAGGCAAATGTTTCCCAGGAGGTGACTGAGAGGAGGAAGGCTTCCTCTGAAACACAACAGAGCCAGGAGGCGATGCATGCATCAGAGAAAGGTGCGTCCTGCTTTAACCCCCCCACACGTTTACAGTCAGACTCCACCACAACTTCTGGTTTTTATTATTTTGTCACATTCATATGTGTGTTTGTGTGTCTGATGAAAATTGAAGGTAAATTAAATATTTTTCAAATGAATCAAATCTGCTGAAGTTGTTTAAACAAGTAGATTAAACAGATGGATCGAAATCATTTGATTAATTTGAAACTCGTCTTGTGTATTCATTTATTTTCTTCAGTTGATCAGTTAAGTGAGAACGGGAAGGGGGGACACGACTCGTCAGGAGAGGAAGAGGAAGAAGATGAACCTTTGATGTCGAGGCTCACTTTGATCGCTGTGGGAAACACCGACAAAGCAGACCTCAAGTGAGCCAAACCATTTCACACATTCGATCTCCAAATAGATGTCATTGCAACGCTGATCAGATGTTACGTGTTTTTGATGCTGTGACTGTTTCTGGTCTTTTAGGGAGTTGCCAGGAGGACACCTGTGGGCACTGAAAAACTGTAATTGTACCTCTGCTTCTTTAATGTCTCTGTGTCTTTAAAGGCGACTTTAAAACCCTTTAAAAACCTTAAGTTTTCTACACAATCTCCTGGTGATGTTCTCCCTGAAAAATAGTTCCAATCTAGCTGTGAAATTCTGGGATATCTGACGGGGTGGTGTTGCAGCCTATAATCATTAAGTACTGACTCTAATTTCCTTCAAGAAAAACACTTTTTAAAGTAAATAAGACGATTAAATGTAATTACTCATTCTGAGAATGGCTGTTCATGAGGTGGTCATGTCCCAAGCTAATCAGCTTCTCCTGTTTCACCTTCAGTTGCCTACTACCTGACCCTTGACCCCAACACTGCCAACTGTGAGATCCTTCTAACTGACAGTAACAGGAAGGCAACTCGTGTCTGGTCAGAGCATCAATACTCAGAGCATCCGGAGCGGTTTGAGTGCTGTCCTCAGGTCCTGTGCAGGGAGGGACTGCTCGACAAGGTGTACTGGGAGGTGGAGTGGAGAGGCGGCGCTGACATCGGTGTCACCTACAACAACATCTCTCGAGATGGAGACACGGTGAACTGCCTGCTGGGACACAACGAGCGTTCCTGGACTCTGGAGTGCGCAGAGGGAAGCTACACTCCGTGTCACAACAGAAAGAGGTTAAAGTCGCTCTCACCCGAGAACTTCACCCACAGAATTGGTATCTATCTAAACTGGCCTGCAGGCGCTCTGTCCTTCTACTGCGTCTCTCAGGACATGATGGTCCACCTCCACACTTTCAGCTGCACCTTTACTGAGCCACTGTACCCGGGCTTCTGGGTGTGGGCGTACAACGGCTCAGTGTCTCTCTGTCATGTGGAGTTAGAGTGGGAACATGCACTAAAGTGACAACAGGACCCCAGGATACCCAGATGAGGCTGAGAGCATCATGTGCAGTTATTCATCAGTGTTACTCATTGTTGGAGCAATGCAGTCTCCCTCCATGCTGTAGGAGAACTTCTGAGGGGAGTGGGATGATGGGGCGGGGCTTCAGAGGTAGATTGGGGGCGGGGTTTTTGGACGATGCAGTGAGAGCAGAGATGCAAAAACGATACCCACAGCTTTGCAGATAACACATTATGTGATGAAACATCAAACTACATTGATATAAACACGACTTCCTTATTCTGTCTGAATTTATGCTGATATCGTTTCAAAAATCACGACACTGGATCACAGCAATCATGAAAACTAGCAACAGATTTTTACACATTTGTGCTGTTGGTCACCCACAAGAAAAAAATCCACCAGCATCAGACACCAGAAGCCTCAGCTGACCAATCACAGCTCTTATAGTCGCCATGTGACATCTCTGCATCCAATTAAAGCGTCTATAGAATTCATCACTAACACATTTAATGCACAAATGTGGATTCACACTCTGCTGTGTGTGTCAGAGAGTACAGCATACCTGCAGCTGGCTCTCCTGACTCCCTCGGGCCTCCTGCAGCTCTTTCTCCAGCTGCTCTAGACGAGCAACACGCTTCTGCAACACACACACAGACACACACCTTTCAGATGCATCCAGATGTGTTTTTTCCACCAGCAGTTGTCGCTGACACATCTCAGTGGCAGAAATCTCTCGTCGCTGTAGTTTATAATCTAATTATTCTGATATGTCATCGTGAATACTGAGACTGATGACTCAAGCTGTGGATTTGCACTTTATTCAAGACCACTTTGTTCCCACGACGAACCCTCTGTGTGGATTAGGCTTCTCACAATAATTCACTTCAGTTATATTACTGTGATATCCAGGGTTAGAAAATTATGTGCATGTCTCATCCAGAGTTATATTTGATATGGGGTTTCTGAGAGATTTGCCTACTATAATATACCACATCAGCTGTTTACATTCATGGAGGCTTTAACTTTGCTTCATTCCACATGTGAACTCTTTGTGATGTGGACGCTAACACAGGTGGGTAAAGCAGCTGACTGCCTACTAGGCCTCACATCCACATGCTGGCAGTTACTGAAGTTGACCTGTTTGCCGTATTCGTACTGTTGATGACACATTTCAGTGCAGTTATGTGACAGATAATCGGACATACTGTGAGGTTAATTATACTAATTATAAAGATGTGTGAGAAATTCTGGTGGTTACTTAGGACTGACTGGCAGGTGTGTGTTTGTGTGATGAACCTACACGTTTGGGCCAAACTCAGACAGCACCAGCTGGTAACAGTTTATCCAAACATGGCTACAGCGGTGGCCAAACTTCAGAAACAGACTTCATAAAACTATGGAAATGTCCAGTGTTTGGCTTCTTTCAGTTGTTATTTAGCAAACTGATCAAACTCACCTGCGTCCTGTGAACCACCTCATCACTGGTGCCGAAGCGTTCCTCCATCACAGACCGGATCTTCTGAGCATCGAACTCCAGCTTCTGCCGGATCATGTCTATCTGTAGTGAAAACTGTAGCAGCAGAAACACACCGAGGTCAGAGGTCAAAGGTTTCTCTGATTACTGGACAAAATAACAAGTCCATGTATGAGTAAAAACACCCAAAGCTTGCATTTCTGTGGTTATATCCTTTATTATATCAATAAACTCTCACCGTGTCGATGCGTGGCAGCTGGGCCAGTTTCTGTGACAGCTCCTCAAGCTGGCTGAAGAACCAGCAGCGCTCCCTCTCTTCTCGGTCAATTTCCCCCAGCAGGAGGTCCCTGTAGATAGTTGTCACCGTTATTATTATATTATAACCATACATCATAACACTGACAGGCTGAAACCTGATTAGCATCAAGTAAGGCGGAGCTTATTGCCATTCGTTTGGTGGCTACATCAGATGAAAAGCTCTTCTATATTCTATTATATTATATTCTATATTGTGTTATTATACATTTCACTATTTTAAATCTTAAAAAATAGCCGATTAATCAGCTCTCTGAAGACAAAAAAGTTGTTACAGTGTTGCTTTTAGATTTTCTAAGGACTTTTACCAAAAGCTAACCCTCCTCAGAGGTGCAGTTAAGCTCTGAAGCTGCTATTTTTAAGAAGACGAGACTCTTGTCTCCAGTTTGGAGGCCTATGCAGGAGGAACTAAGCTAGAAAACGATCAACAATTAGTTTTTTCCACTAAATGTGTATCTAATATGTGTTGTTCAGTTTTATACGGATTCTTCACTCTGTTATTTTAAAGTAGAGAACAAGTTCAAAACTATGCAATGGTCTCTTTGCAGTCATTACGCGTCGTCTCTGTTTCTTCCCCTGAGGACACGCGTTGTGTCATCTGTAAACTCAGATGAAGGCTCTGGGTCCATGAACTTGACTGTACCTGCCCCATGTGACCTCCCACCCTGAGGTGTCTCAGTTAATATAATCAGCTTACCTCTCCTTGCACAGCTCGTCCAGGTGATGGTCAATCACTCGTCCGTCTGCTCCGGTGATCATAGCTATTTTGGGCGGGGCTCCATCCAGGAAGTGATGCGGCAGGATGACAGCGGCGGTCTTCCCGGCAGACACTGTGCTTTGACAGGATGCCGATCGGTGAGGACTCCTACCTCTGCTTACTGCGGCCATCGAGGAGGAGGAGGAGCACGAGGCCAGAGCTAGGTGATCATCTAGTTCTGCTCCTCCGCCAACACCTGGCCCCGCCCCTCCCAGGCTGCCTGTCAGCAGCCTCAGGTTATGAGGTTGATGTTTGAGTTCGTAGTAATTGGTGAGGTCCATGTGGAGTTCTGAGGGAGGAGGAGGTGGAGGAGGGTCAGGAGCCATCAGATCAACAACTCAGGCTCTACTTTTACAACAGCAGCCCCGGGATATTCAGCGTTTGATTTTAGAATTACAGTCACTATCTTTTATTCGTCAATAATACTCTTCAGCATATTTATACTCACATTTTTTGCAATATTTCTGCATAAAATTATTTTGTTAAAGGACTCATACTGTGTTTAATCCATTAAGTTTTTAAAATTTTACCTATTTTATTTGCACCTTATTTGCCTCTGCAGGCGTCTGTTTTTATGGGAAGTTTTTGTGTGGTTTTGTTGACGATCGTGGCTCAAGAGTTGGGAGTTCGCCTTGTAATCGGAAGGTCGCCGGTTCGAGCCCCGGCTTGGACAGTCTCGGTCGTTGTGTCCTTGGGCAAGACACTTCACCCGTTGCCTACTGGTGGTGGTCAGAGAGCCCGGTGGCGCCAGTGTCCACACTGACAGAGGCGAGGCTCAGAGCAGCTCTGGCTACACTGTAGCTGCTGTCACCAGTGTGTGGATGTGTAAAGTGCTTTGGGGTCCTTAGGGATTAAGTAAAGCGCTTTACAAATACAGGCCATTTACATCTGGTCATTTCTATGCAGGCTTGTCTTCATTTTACTTATTGTGATCTAAAATTATATTTAAGGAAAAACAACAACAAACGTCTAAATCCTTTTTCAGACTTTAACAGCAAATCTCTGTTTTTTCTTTAATCTGTTTTCTTTTGGATGTTTTGGTGTTTAATGCTACATTTGTGTGACTCATAAAATGTGTAAACAAAAATATTCTGTCATTAGCAACAATCTATTTTTTATTTAAATGCTCTGTCATAAAATCCGTCATCTGTCTAACCCCGGCTGGCTGTCACTGGTTACCAGTACCATAAATAATACTAAAACACTCTATTTTTTAACTGGATCACCACTTTTAAGTTTGTATGGTTACATTTGAAGTAAAGTTATCTAAATTCAGCGTTAATACAGCTAAACTGTTGGTTTTATGTTTATTAATTAGACTGATTTAATTTCAGTTGTGTAGCTGAGTTGACACAGCTGGAGTCTATAAACACATCTGTCAGCTGGAAATGAACAAATTCCTGTCCAGACAAAGTAATTGACAATAACTGGCTATTTAACTGAATGAGGCCTGGCTTGCTGGAGCCAATCAGATTAGCTGAATGAGTCAATCTGCTTTCTCTGTAAGCGATGATTAGTCTCACTGGAGGCTCTGAGCTCTGAGCTTCACACACCAGCAGAGTCAGGTAGGTTCAACCGTAGTCTCCAGATGTACAGTGACTAAACAGACAGTTATAAGCTTCTCTCACTGTGATTTTAAAGCAATTTAATCCCAAGTTCCTTAAATGGTTCCTAGAAAATGGTCCTCAGGCAGAAACAATCCTCAAATTACAAAAAAAAAAAGCCAGATTTCGACCTTTAAGTTGGTGCAGCACGTCGCTCCTTCCAGACGATGCCAGGGTTCCTGCCTCCTGTTCCAGCTTACTCTGCAGTTGTTTCAGCACCTCCTAAGAAGTAAAGAAAACAACATGAATGTATCCAGGTGAAACTCCACAAACATTGTGACCTTTTGA